ACTGTAATGGAAACGCGCCACAAAGTGAGCTGGTCCTAACGAGGCCGGGCGCGGCCAAAGGAGGCCGAGCGGGGCCGAGCGAGGCTGTGTAGTGGAAACGCGGCATAAGTCTCCCCCTGGCCCACCTACATTTCTCCAGGCCCACCCTCACAATAATTCCTGGCTACGCCACTGCGTTAAACACACCGTTTCTCTCTCCATCAAACTCTCAATCTGACTACTGTTGCTAACGTGTTTCTGTTACCGTTTAAGTGGTAACGCGGGGGAACTCGTGACGTTCCATAACGGTAGGAATGTGTCAGGGGCGCGCGCGTCTATCGTTTTTCCCATAGATATATATAAACAGTGTTTATAATATAAATATATATATTTATATATATATAAATATTTATATATATATATAAATATTGTTTATATATATCTATGGTTTATCCAACCCAGTTTAGATTTAACCACGCCCACTTCCGCATTACGCAAGCATTGACGTAGCTCTACGTGATAGCGTCATAGACTACATAGACTTCATCTTCGGCAGTTATAGCTGTCGCGGTAAAGCAGAATATTGAATAGTTGGTTTGACTGAAAGTAAACGATCCTATAATCAAAGCCATATCTAAGAGTCCTGAGATTGTATTACTGGTGTTTTATCATCTATAAATAGCCTGTGTGTATCCTCAAATTTCGTTTTCAGGAAACAAAAGACGTTTTAAAGATCTTATCAGCTGAAACATATATATATAAACACACACTTATATGTACTCACACGTGTATTTATTCATTTATACACACAATATACATATATATATATAATATATATTATATATATATATATACACACATATATATATATGTATGTATAAATAAACACACACAAACAAAACAACACAATATAATAAACACAGTTGCAATAATCATTTGTACACACACACACATAAATATATATATATATATAAACAAAACAACACAATATAATAAAAACAGTTGCAATAATAATAACATAATATGATATGATCAATTCTACCCTTTTGTTTTTGCTCCCATATTTCAATTAAAAGATATTTGTCAAAATCAATATTGGTGGGGGCTCTTTTGCAAAGATTATCAATAACACCACCTGACAGTTGTTGCAGATTATACAGCATTACTTGTTACTTACACACATGTGCGATGGTCCCAAAAAAGCCAAAATCTGCACTGTAAAAAAATATATACATTTAGGCACTCTGAATAAGGGTTGACTGTAATAATCATGCCTTTTAATTGGTGTATATGTCTCACCAGGTGAAGGCTGGGACAGTGGGAGGGGTGAGGTAGAAGCAGGGGACTGCTGAATGCTGAGCTGAAGTCCCAGGATACAATCCCAAGTTGACTGCATGATCCACTTACCTGTTTGCATCAACTGCAGGAGGTCAAGCAGGGGTCATGTGATGTCCTTTAGGTTGGATCAACACCAGCCTCTGGAAAGATTTCATGACTGCAGAGGGCAGTGGACCTTTAGTCATTTCATACTGTGATGTAGGGTAATGGATTTGTATTAACAGGGAGGTTATATTTCAGCATTTGAGATACACCTTGAGGCCTGATTTGGTAAAAAGCCCACTTACCACGACAAGGTACAGGCCATAAATGGGATAAGACATGACAAAGACATAAGGTGAAAAACAAATGAGAAAGAAAGGCATACACATATACAAACAGATACATAAAGGGTGTAGAGGGGCACTGACTAGTGTCCTGCCTCTAAACAGAGGGATGGGGGGGTGACGAGGAGTCAGAGGGTGCAGAGGGGCACTGAAGTGTCCTGCCTCTAAACAGAGGGGGGGGGTGACGAGGAGTCAGAGGGTGTAGAGGGGCACCAAATAGTGTCCTGCCTCTAAACAGAGGGATGGGGGTGACGAGGAGTCAGAGGGTGTAGAGGGGCACTGAAGTGTCCTGCCTCTAAACAGAGGGATACAATAAATACATTAATGTTTTTTTGAATGGCTGGTGTTCAACACCACTGCCAAACTTAAATTGTGCTGTTTCACAGGGCGCCCAGAAAATAAACGCCGTCTTGAGCCAGCGCCTGACTTCCTGCGTGCAACAGCTGTAGGCTGGCAGCCAATCATCGGGCCTTGACGTCTGGAAGCCCACCTTAAAATGGCGGCCCTTTTGCTGGTCAGGCTGCCAGATTTCCCAAAGGAATGGAAGGCTGACAGCAGTTTGGAGGGGTTGCTTCTCAGGACATTGTACTGCTTAGCCATTGCCAGTAGCCCAGCAGTGAAATGTGGATCCTGGCAACGACTTTTCATTTCCTCCATCATGTTATCCACAAGAGAGACGTCATCTGATGCGATATCTAAGAGGGAAAAATATTTAAATTAAAGGTTTATTTTTTAAGTTGATATTATACATATAGTAACAATTTATTAATTCATCAATCTATTAAGCACCAAAATGATGTGTGAACATAAACCTGCACACTCACAACTCACCTTCTTGTGGCCTATCACCAGTGACACTTCTGGAGGGCTGGACTTGTGCTGTCAATACACCTGTGAAGAGTAGCATACGATAGTATTCAGTTAATTTTGTATTAACTATTGCAGTGCCTCTTTTCTGATGTTATGGTCCAAGGGGAAAGAAAAGTCTAGGTAAATATATATATATATATGTGTGTGTGTGTGTGTGTGTGTGTGTGTGTGTGTGTGTGTGTGTGTGTGTGTGTGTGTGTGTGTGTGTGTGTGTGTGTGTGTGTGTGTGTGTGTGTGTGTGTGTGTGTGTGTGTGTGTGTGTGTGCTTGTGTTGTTCAGTTGAAATGTTCATAACAAACCTTCATCTTGTTGCTCCTGATGCGTAGTGCTTGGTTCATGAGCGCCTACAGATATCAAGAGATACATCAATTATGTGTGTCCCACATGGTATTAGTGATGGACATGGATAATATAGAACTACTTTGTTATTTTGATTTAAAGTTTCAATTATTTTATATAATTACACCATTATTAATGTAAGTTTTGTGTATTACTTACTTCTAAACGACTGACATGATTGCCTTTCAAGTCTGAGGGGTTGGAGGAAATCCAAAGAGATGGTTTCTATAAAACATTAAGGGATCAACATTAATTAAAAACTAAACAGTGTATATCCTTTATCTTGTAATCAAAACATGAAATGTTGGCAGTCTCATTACACCAGTTATTGTTAAAATATTGACTTTACCTGCCGATGTCAGTTTCATCAGCTCTGCTCTCATCTCTGGATTTATTGGTAGAAAGGAGTGTGACAAACAGCTGTAATGTTTCATCACTGCTGCCTGGTGTTTGCAAGGCGCTCCTGTTTGTCCTGCAGGGCAAGAACACAGCTCCAAATCCATGTCTACATCATAAGTTTGTGTACCACAAACTTCTTGTCCTCAATCTGCAAAATCACAAGTCAAACAAGGATAAATGTATTTGTTACACAAGTGACATATGTGCGTATTGATTCTGTAGTGATAAACCTATAGCATATTATGTTTTTTCAGCTGTTATATCCATTACCTGCTGAATATGCAATGCTGCAATGTTGCCATCTTGGGGGAGGAATTTTGCTCGCTGGAATGATTCCCAGCGTCCAAGGGCAACATCAACAATGCGTGCCTCATAATAGGTCTCCAGCCTCGAGGTCAGCAGATCAAACAGCTGAGGAAGGTTGAAGGCCTTTGTCCTCTGCAGTATTTTGTCCTTGAGGACACGCATTGCCGCTTCTGCAAAATTGTTGGTATTGTTTCCTCTGGTGAGGAAACTGCCTCTATAACTGAGGGCCCAACACTCTCTTCTGGCGTACAGTCGGTCCAAGTACCGGAGGAACTTTTCATACCTGCAATTGGTTAAAAAAAGAAAAAATTATCCAAACAGTAAAGCTTAATCACTTCATTACATTGGGTGTTGGATGTTATTTGATAAGAATAAGTCAATTTCTCTCATATGGTTAAACAAAACATCACTAACTTGTCTGCATTAAACACTAACCTGGCTACAACTGGATGCCCTCTTGCCTCGCTGTAAAGCCTATCCACACTGCCTATCTCCTGACAGTAAAGCATCTCTTTTACAATGGCAAAAAGTGCCGGTCTGTCTCCGTGAGTGACCCCACTCTCCTTGCTCCACAGCCACCTCCAAACTGCTTGTAGCAGATGGAAGGAGCACAGGAGAAGTGTGGCCTTAGGAAATGCTTTTCCCAGAGCTCCCCTCTCTGCCCTACAGTCATCTGTGATGACCAGTTGTGGCCCTTCGTGTCCTCTGCCAGCAAAGCCCTTCTCTCCAACAACTTGTTTGAGCTGTTCCAGCCCTTGAGCAATAGTCTGCTCATCCTCAGACTGGCAGAGGAGAATGCCCAGAGGGAGGCCACCTGCACAGCTGTGGGTCAGGAGGAGGAATACCCTGCAGTTCTCCCTGTCCATATTCCCTGAGGAATCTATGAAGCACAGCTCCCACTGTGCTTCAGTTGGTGCACTTTCTTCATGAGTGGAGAACACACAACCACAAGAGGAGCTCCCTGGGAAGTTGTTCCCAGGAGAGCACAGGTGTCATTACACTTATTGTTGTAACTCTCCACTTGAAGCTTGAGCGCTGCCAACATCGTGGGACCTGTTTGCGTGCCATACTCCTCCCTACACACCTTGTGGAACAGTCTGGGTAGAAAATGAATTAGTTGGTATGGGTGTCACTTACATGCAGTAGAAAAGCGTATTTGTATTCACTGAATACATCATAGTTTTTATTGCATCGTTATTTATATAGTGGGTAGTAGGTATCTTGACCATGTTTCCAGATGTGATACCCACCTCTGTACATAAGGCAGGTCGGGGCAAATCTCCCTGTTGGCCGACACGTACACATAACGCTGCCCATACTCCATTTGGAGGTCGTGTTTCAGGACCGCCAGTGCAGATGTTGGAGTGTGGCCAATTTCAAAGAGCCCTGTGAGTATGTTGTTTGCCTTTAACCCAACATCTCGGTGGCGGATGGCGTCCGTAACAAAAAGATTGTGGTTGTGCCTGTTTATTAGAATAACCTTAAATGGTAGGTCAGGCATGTGTGGGTCTTCGGTCCTATAACATAAATCAATATATATGTCAATATTATGTAAAAAAAGCAAAACGTGAAATAATAAGTATGTGGATCAGTAAACTCACTTCATTTCCCCACGAGTACTCTTGAGTGTCGTGTGCATTTTTGCTTGACAGCAGGTGTTCTTGCTGCTTTTGGCTGCTCTCGGGTTCACCCTATGCTGACACTTATAACTTGCCTGAACAAAATAAAGCAGATTTATTATATTACAGGTCAAAGTAAAAAGGATAATTAAAAGGTAACTTCAAGAAATATCAACAAGACAACACTTACTTTGAAAAGCACCCGCTTCCCCAACCTGGGTCGGGTAACATCCACCCTCCATGTCACCCCTGATGACCCCTTCAGCTTTTGTACCCACTCCTTGACCTGTTCCACAGTGTGGACATCCAGCCTCAAAGTGGCCTCAAAACCAGTGTGGTCCCCCAGTGAAACCACCTCTTCATACTGGCACACGTGGTATCTGAACTCACCTGGTAGCCAACCCTACAAGGAAACAGACAACTATTCATTCAAATCCACACACATAATACTGTGTCAGCTCAGAATACCAGTAAGAGTTTTGCCATGATCTGAAGAACTAAAGAGGACCATGAGGTTTAAAATGTACTGACTTTACTTAGAACTAGAGTAGCATACACATTATACTTGCAGGCTTAAAAAGTCTGAAAAATAAAAATCCAACCCTCAAAATCCTAAAACATTGGTATAGTTATGCTAACATGTTTATATTCTCTTTAAATGTACTTCATGTGTTTGCATGTTATTCTTTGTAATGCCTTATCTTTTATCTGGACAATAAGTCTGTTATTAAGTGGTATAGTTTAGATGATGATGATGATGATGTGTAGGTGAGGCATTGATATGAGCAAACACATTCAATGTAATTTGATGTTCATCATAGTATTGAGAGATAGGTCTACCTTCAACTGCGGGTACTCCTCTATATTGTTCTGTGTGCCTCCAGAGCACACTAAAACACGAGGTCTGAAATGAAAGCAAAAAAACCAGCTTATAGTTATTCAGGTACTATTCTGATGCTAATACTTTAGTACTTATACTTGAGTATTTCTACACTCTGGTACTTGTACTTTTACTCAAGTACAAGATCTTATCACTTCTTACACCTCTGGAAAGCACTTTTATGTAAAGGAATACATTTTTATAAATGTCCCAACATTTCATTTTTACATGGCAAAATGTTATATGTTGTATTATATAACAAAATAGACATTTATAACATATTATAAATGTCTACCTTTAAATAAAACATTAAATAGATACCTTTACATCCTAAACAGAAGGTCAAAACGTTAATATGTTAGATGACAAACAAAAAAACGAAACATTATATATATATATAGGCTATATATACAGATGTTTGCTAATGTATCCCTCTTATATCCATCAGGAATTAATATTAAATGATGAATTAACATTACCTCAGCACTGCATAAGTGTGGTCGTCAGTCATATTGACAAAGAAGCACTATTATATTGTATATTGTATATTATGCGGCGTTTAAAAGGACGGTATTTCGCTTGTCAGATTCAGATTTCGCGGGTGTGTCGCGTGAGGCAGTGATGTAACCATAGGGATGTGACGCCAGGTTGATGCTGTGACGTAACGCCGTGTCGATGCTTGCGTAATGCGGAAGTGGGATCTAAACTGGGTTGGAAAAACGATAGACGCGTCAGGGGCGTGTACTTTGAGGAGCCACGAATAACCAGGAAATACACATTTCGATCGCTTCTTCTGTTGTTTACATTTATCTTTTGGTATATTTGGCTCCATAGGAAAACGTTGATGCACATTCAGTACCAGTGTGTGAGGTTGTGGTTGCGATGCCGATATCCGGACGCGTACAGCGAGGACTACACAATGACAATGAGGTGACTGGGGATGTCTGTTCAAAACATTGCAAACGTGAATAAATCATTTCAAATATATTTGTCTCCGACTTTCATTTGTACATCGTTGTTAATGTGATGTTTAGTAGCTTTGATAGCTGTCCATACCTTCAGACAGCCTAAAAGTAAGACACAAGTTGTTTACTCACAGCCCGAATGCAGCATCGAGATCCGTGGCAAGCTGTGATCCTCTCCGATTAAGTTGTGACAGGACTTCTGTAGCTATTCTCCAGCGAGTAAGGTTTTATTAAATACCTCCATCCCTCTCATCACAACAACAAGACTCTACACTGTGCAGAAAAAATACAAAATAAATGAAAATAACCTTGCTGGATAGCTTAGAATGAAACAAACAATCGTCCATGGCTGATATGTCACAGTAACGGGTAAACCACAGAAAAGTCGAGCAGGACACAAGTTGAATCCATATAATGAAATTGTTATTTTATATGTATATACATATATATATATATATATATATATACATGCTATATATATACATGCTATATATATTTATTTCTATCCTAGATTGTCTAGGCTATATAAACCGGAGGAAGTGTCACAACTTTCTTGGTTTGTGAGTATCGAGAGAGAGATTGATAGCGAGAGAGATAGATAGATAGCGAGACAGAGATAGATAGCGAGACAGAGACAGATAGAGATAGAGATAGAGATAGAGATAGAGATAGAGATAGAGATAGAGATAGAGATACAATAGAGATAGATAGAGAAAGATCGGCTGTGCGTAAGTGAGTAGTGATAGAGTGTTTGTCCTTGTGAGTGTGTGTGTGTGTGTGTGTATTGGAGGGGAGAGCTAGCTGTAGGGCTAAACAGGAGGGGATGATTCAGTAGTTGTAAAAGAACTGATGGATTTTTTGATCCACAACAGTTATCCTGATGGCTTGAATAGAACACAGAGGTTTATTATCAAGCGAAGAGCAGAGACCTTCAGGATTATAGGTAACAATGTCAGACATGTGGTCTTCAGAACATCATCTGCTATGATAACACTCTCAATACATGTATAATTATGACATTTCAATACCAGATGGGGAACTGCACTACATATGCAGGAGGAAAAAAATGTTGCAGAGCACCTCGCCAAGGTCGTGGTGTCAGCCAAAGAAGCCAATGATGTATTTGAGGAATTCCATGACAGCCACATTGGTGGACATTTTGGAAGAGAAAAAACACATCAGGCTATAATTCAAAGATATTATTGGCCTGGCATGGAGGAGGATATCCGCAAGTGGGTGAGTTCAAAATAATGAGGTAAATTACACATTATGGTACAAAAGTGCAACACAGAAAAGTTTATAGTGTGTTTTTTGGTTCAGGTTCTTCAGTGTCCCCAGTGCCAGTCAAAGAGGGCCTTTATCAAGGAGAAGGTCGAGTACACTCCTATAGAGGTACAAGGAAACATTTGAAGACAGTTTCAGCTTTCAAACATGTCAACAGTAATGTACTGCAATGCTCATGTGTATTTTTTTCATCTCAGGTAACAGAGCCTCTGGAGCTTGTCGGGATGGACCTAGTGGGTAAACTCACAGTAACCGATGGTGGCAATCAATACATTTGTGTCATGGTTGATTATTACACCAAATGGGCAGAGGCATACCCACTTAAAAATAAAACAGCAGATGAGGTGACCAAGTGTATTATTGATTTCTTTTACAAATTTGGTGCACCTAAAAGACTGCTAACAGATCAAGGCGGGGAATTTTGTAATAAGGTACTACTTTGAAGAATTATGACTCCCCATTATGTAACTGTGCTATGCTAACAAACTTATTTCCTGTTTGTCCCAATGTTCACTTCAAGATCAACTATAACCTTTGTGAGAGGCTTGGCATCAAAAGAAGCCTGTGCTCGCCATACCACCCACAAACCAATGGGCTGGTAGAAAAATTAAATGGCACAATACAAAGGTATATTTGTTCATAGAATAACAAACATTACTGTTCCTATATTAACTAATCAGAATTGATACCTAAAACAACAAGAGTAAATAAATCAGCAGCTTCATCATATATTAGAAACCAATTTCTTTTCGACCTTCTTGTGTTTGTACTTTACCTGAATTTAGGTCCCTGAACAAACTGGTGGCAGGTCAGCCGAAACTATGGGACCAACTCCTTCAAGGGACGATGTTTGCTCTAAGGACTAAGCCTCAGTTGACCACAAAATTCAGTCCGTACTATCTCATGTTTGGGAGGGAGGCGAGGTACCCGTCAGAGGTGCCCGAGAAGTACGAAGTAAGATCTGCTAATGTTCTCATCCTTTAGAATGTTTTTTATTTCAAACATCTATGTTTTTTCTACATTTTAATGGTTTTCTGGGGCAGATAACAGAAGACAAAGTCCGTAGCTTGGTGGAAAAAGAGGAACTGTTCGAGGGACTCAAAAGACAGGAGGCAGTTTTCAAAGAGGTGGACACCAACATCAAAAAAAGCCAAGAGAAGGTCCGCAAAAGGAAACTCGACCATGGGCAAGTCGACCATTTTAAAGTGGGGGATTTAGTTCTAAAAAGGAACAAACGTTTAGAACAACGAAAAGGGGGAAAGCTGGAGCCAGACATGTTGGGACCATACAGGATTGTCACAATTGAGGGGAAAATAGCGGACATTGGGGCAGACAAGGGTGAAAAGACAATGCAAATAAACATTGACCATCTGTCGCATTATGTCACACCAGAGGAGAGGATCCCTGCGAAAATAAAAAAGTGTTGGATCCTTCTCGTCTGGCTGGTCCACTGACCTCCACCTCCACCTCCACATCCACACCCACACCCACATCCACCTCCACACCCACACCCACCTCCACCTCCACACCACACCCACTCCACCTCCACACTGTTGCAACAGCAGATGACTCATTTGCAATTGATAAGATCACTTGTGAAAACAAGAAAATGCATCTCATTCATTTAGAGTTATTGCATTTACCAGCCCTGTTTCTTTGATTATGATAATGGTACTTTGATTATGTTTGTGGCAGTGGGAATCTTTTCATGGATTAAGGCGGTTAGATGTAAGACTCGCAAATATTCCGTCTTTCTGGTTCTGCATGATGTGAACACAAGAGGTGCATATCTTTTCTTTTTTCTTAAAACAGAAGTGTGTTGAGATTTAACAATGCAGCATCAGTAAAAACAGGAAATCATTCTTCCAATGTAGCATTTTTAAGACTTGAATTATTCAATTAAGGCCTTATTTTTAAATGAATGTATTTTTCAGGACTGCTTTCTGTCTCCACAGAGGGGTCAGAGGTCATGGTCCCCAACAGAACAGTCCCTGGTGTTAGTAAGATGTCAGCTTCCTGCCAAGGGCACATCACTCCTGCTGCACAGATGCTTTCTGACACCTGGATTGTCCATCCGAAAAATCCAACCACAAGGCTTCCACTCTGCACAATGTCACAGCCATGACCTTTCCATTGAGGTCGCCTGCAGTATGTTCACACTTACTGTATTACATCCCCAGCTGGAGCCCACTGAGGCTCTGATGTGGACGGGTGCATCAGACTTTCAAAAGTTGTGAAAACATGCCAGTCAGTTTCCTGCAGCATGCAGTCTAACTGTGGCTCAGCAGTTACAGAGAGCAGTCTGCAGGAACAAGCTAATGTTCACATGTGCCTCAATGAGTGCACATTTCTGCCATGCACAGTGACGTGTTATTTACAAAAAGGTGACATACTACACTTTATTCTGATTTCAAGGATTCCGTTTTTATCCCAAATGTGCAATTTTTTAGAGGCAACAATATTTCACAGAAAAAATACACATCTAGTGGAATCCTAAAGAAATGCACATATCCAAGTGTCTTATGCATGAATCTCATAAATGCCAACTTTTTTGTGAGCTAACCATCCCAGTTTTAGCTTTGACAAAATGCTTTTTTCATCCAATGGCTGGTTTTAGGGTTTGTTTTTTAAAAAGTAGGACCAGTTATCCACTCATTCATATTATTGATTTTAGAAATGTTTGTCCACAATCCTGAGATGTTTAACAGATGGAAAACATTCTTAATTGAAAAACTGAATAACCATTAACTTCCATTAAAATTGGTAAGTAGCTCATCATATTCTGTAAGCATAATGGAGCTCAAATATCAGGAGCAGCATTGACAGTTTTTTCCCAATGAGTTCTTACACCGATGCACATGAACAAATGTGATGTTCTGGCTAACATTGTGCAGCATTCCCTCCAAAACTCTCGAGCTACATCTCCCCACACTGC